GTATAGGACGCAAGCAGATTTTGACATCAAATTTTGGGGTAAAAAAGTGCGTCTTATACACCGAAAAATACGGTATTCCCTATCATATGAATTTCTACTAATGTTTACAGTTTGGAAAACAGTTTTATTTTAGGGTCATTCTACTCAACATGCTTACTATTAAATTCCATTAGAAATCCAAAGGTTTAAAAAAGTCTGCTTTAAAAGAACTTTGATAAATTTTGGGGTAAAAAAGTGCATCTTATACACTGAAAAACACGGTATTCCCTATCATATGAATTTCTACTAATGTTTACAGTTTGGAAAACAGTTTTATTTTAGGGTCATTCTACTCAACATGCTTACTATTAAATTCCATTAGAAATCCAAAGGTTTAAAAAGTCTGCTTTAAAAGAACTTTGATATAAGTCAGATGAGCCTTGACAAAAGTCATGATTAACAAGTTTTAAGGTGAATCCAAGTATACATATTGATGGTAACTGATGAGACCAGAAGTTTTAATGTTTACCCCAGTATATGTCTTGACAGTAACTAATGATTCCACAAGAGTTAATGTTTACCCCAGTATATGTCTTGACAGTAACTAATGATTCCACAAGAGTTAATGTTTACCCCAGTATACGTCTTGACAGTAACTAAGGATTCCACAAGAGTTAATGTTTACCCCACTATACGTCTTGACAGTAACTAATGATTCCACAAGAGTTAATGTTTACCCCAGTATACGTCTTGACAGTAACTAATGATTCTACAAGAGTTAATGTTTATCCCAGTATACGTCTTGACAGTAACTAATGATTCCAGAAGAGTTAATGTTTACCCCAGTATACATCTTGACAGTAACTAATGATTCCACAAGTGTTAAGGTTTACCCCAGTATACATATTGACAGTAACTCATGACTCCACAAGTGTTAAGGTTTACCCCAGTATACATATTGACAGTAACTCATGACTCCACAAGTGTTAAGGTTTACCCCAGTATACATCTTGACAGTAACTCATGACTCCACAAGTGTTAAGCTTTACTCCAGTATACATCTTGACAGTAACTCATGACTCCACAAGTGTTAAGGTTTACCCCAGTATACATCTTGACTTTCAGTCAAAAGCCAGCGGGACCAAACATAGTACACATGTTTAAGTGTCATGGAAGGCATCCTAATAGGGCATATTATTTGGTATTGACTCACTCTTGGAGTAAATATAAAAGTAACTAAGGGTAATGGAGGAGTTTTTTCAGTTCACTGGGGCCTCTAGGAATTATAAGGGGACCTTTGAACTCCATAGCAGTGTTAGTACTTACAAAACAAGATAAGTAATGTGCTGGAAGCCAATCAGAAGAAGTCAAATAAGATAACCAAATGATACTTGGCAAAGAACAATAGAAAACAATATGAGAAATAAAGAGCTGGACAGAATTGAGGTTGAACAACAGGCAGAAGACCAAATGCAGTGGAGAGCCTTCATAGCTGCCCTATGGACTATTTGAGGTCTGGAAAGAGATGATGATGATTTATAAACCATATACATAATTCAAAATAAATATGGAGTAATTTAGACCAAGTATGGTTTCACCAAAGTACACCTGTTATAGAAATGTGGAATATTATATTTAACTGGATACTTTCTTCTATACATAAGTTCATATAAGCATGGCCTCTGTTTAGTATATGAAAGTAGGGTAAAGAAGTTTTATGATTAAAGGTTTGACAGTTTGTGTAGCAGAAGCACATAGAGACAATAATTTTTGGCCAATTCTGAGTAATTCCATTCAGAGTATATTTGTCATCATTTCTTTGGAAAAATTAAGAATCCCATCTCATCAACTTCAAAATTACACTGAACAATCCTTGAATATTCGACTATGTATGAGATAAAACCCACAATAATACCCCTTAACTCACTAGGTGTTCAGCAACTACTTGTCTGGCTCCCTCTAGTATTATTGTTATATGTATGGTGTTTTGTGTTGTCCTTTGGTCACCACAGTGAATTCATATAGAATTTGAATAATATCTAGTATGATATGACTAATTTATTCTTGTGAATTATTCATTAGACAAGCTGTTTAAAATACTAAAAATTAATATTAATTCCAATCTATTTTATTCATTTTTAGTAAATTTCTGTTTGATAACTCTATAGATATCAATTGCATAAACACACTTAATGCAGTATACAAAATAAGCATGCACTCTATATCAAAGCACCATCTTGTGGACTGTAATTTCTATTCTCACATAGGTGGCTGGGAATAAGCTGCAGATGTGAAACATTTCACAGACAAATAAAAGCAAATATGTGAATTATTAGTTTCATGGCAATGAATATTTTTAGACTAGATGATAGGAATGATTTTAAATTCTTCTTATTATAAGATATCCATAACTGCAAAACTTGTGTTACAATTGTTTAAATGGTAAACATACCAATGTAAAATTTACTGTTGGAAATAAAAAAAATTACAAACTCTCATTCTCAGATGTTCATGTCTTAGATAACCAGGATATACTTACTGCTAAAGTTTATCATAAACCCACTTTATTCACATTTTTCAAAGTTTCACTCTTTCAATCTTTAAAAGAAAATCTGGTTAAAACTCTGTTAAACAGAACATTTAGAATATCAGGAAATCAAAACCTTTTCAAAGCAGAAATTGTGAACATTAAACAAATGCTTTCCATCCTCTTTCCAAAATAGAATAACCCACACAAAAACTGATAAATTTAATACTCCATCTATTGTCCTATGTTCCACAGACAACTTTATAGTTATACTTAGGCACTATTTCATATATGATCAAGAAAATCATTAAACAGCTACATCCACACATTCAGTTAAAACATGTCTTTAAAACAGACTCTAAGTTTAAAAGGCTCTTTAAGTTTAATGACAAACAATATCCATTAAATAACATGCTGGTGATATACGAGTTTACATGCTTGAGGTACAACCAGGGATAAATTGGATCAACCACTAGAAGACTCTGCAGTTGATTAAAAGAATACTGTAATGTTAAAACTTACAACACCAATAGTGTATAAAGGAATGTTACATTGTGTCTACCTCTAGTTTCTTCCACATCATCTTCCATTCCCAGGAAGAACTCCGAGTTATAAAATTAGAATTTCTTGCCATTAAGCTATGAAAATCAGCTTTTAATAAGTCACTACATCATCAATTGTGAAAATGCAATGAAAGAACATAACATGCACTTTGAAAAGGTGAAACAATGGGATAGATAATATTCAAGTATATTATGATACTTCAAGAAGATGACCAAAAGTGGCAGAACTTGTATTACAGTACTTTTTTAAATTATCTTATACTGGTGAGAATTAAGTTATTACATACACGATCTTTATTCAGCAGAACATATATAGATATTTAGATTGACAAGTTTTCCCACTTAAATTCTTCTTGATGCGATAGGGACTTTTTTTTTCATATCTTCATGAATCATAATGTTCAATGACATTGGTGAAGATCAAAAGATGAAAAACATATAATTTAACATAACATAATGTTTAGGGACAACAAGAGACCTACTGATCTATCTTGGCTGTCCAATCCTCTAAACTAAAACAATTAAAAGAAAAATCTTAAAGCTAGCCCTTATCATTCATACAGTTATCAAACTTTTGCTTAAACTCACTTAAATTTACTGCCTACACAACATCGAAAGGCAACCCATTCCACACAGACAAAAAAGGATAAAACAGTATATTGTTTC